AAGAATGGAGGAAAATAGGGGTGATTTCTCACTTTCTTTCTTCCTGTCTCTGTCTCTGTCTGTCCAGTGAGCACACACACCCTATGGTAAAAATCCCTAAAAATAAATATATAAAAAGAAAAGAAACTAGTGGTTACCAATGGGGAGGAGGTGGGATAGACAGAAATAGGGAGCAAGATTTCCCAGACAAAAGGCAGGGGAGTGGGGCAGCTGATGAAAGAGCACAGAAGGGCTGACTCAGAGCAGAACCCCAGGCATACAGCCAGGGAAGTCTGGCTGCTGCAGTCCTTTCGGCCTCTGGGATCCAAATGTTCTCACCCGCCCCATTCTTCCTGGATACAATAAGAGATTCATTGCAGCAGCACTCTCCATCACCATCCCCTCCCGGCAGAGGCTGCCAACTGACTACTCTATAGCCACTCTCTTTTTCCTTACTAATGAAACTCCAATTGGATTTGAGGCTATCATATGTCCTGCTAAAAGACTGTATTTCCGGGTCCAGCAGATGGTGTAATGGTTAGGTCGCTGGACTCCCACATAGTCGACTGCGGTTCAAGCTCTAGACCCAGTGACTTAAAACTCATGCTGGGCACATGTGCATGCACGCCCAAGATCCTGAGTGGAGAATAGAAGTGATTGCGTCATGACCATTTCCCCAGGGGGTGATTTCTTGCTTTCTGTCTGTCTCTCTGGCAAGTGCATATAGCCATAGCAAAAATCTCTTTCTGAAAAAAAAAAAAGATTCTCCAGCCTCTTTTGCAGATAATGTAGCCATATGACTAAGTTCTGGCCAATAAATGCTTCAGGGTTATGTTGGACACTTGGGATGATCCCTTAAATGGGAAGAGATGCTCAGGTCAATGGAATTAAGAGTAGTTCAAAGGGAAAGGAGGAAAATGAGCATCACAAGAAGCCTCCCTCTAATTTGGTCTGATTCTTTTTTGTTCTTTTGGGTAGCAGCATTCACTCATTCATTCTTTCTTCCTTTAAATCCCAGAGAGGGTATGTGTGTGCTTCAGGGAAAGACAGAGA